ACGTCCAGCCTGTCGGGTCACTGCCAGATGTCCCGCCAGAGGACACTTGTCTGAGTTCTAGCCTTCTGACAAGGGTATTTCTGTTTTGTTCAGCTTGATTTTTATCTTCGTGTTTATAAACAGGGTATTACGATGGTGGATCTCAGCAAAGAACCATTCATGATAGTGGAATTACTGATGTTAAACGTAAAAATTTGGCCTTATCCTCGGCTATAGATGTTGGTGAAAATTTGGTTTATCAATTATCAGTTACACCACGAAGAAACATCACGAAATTGAGCGTTTGGTGGAGTCTATACAAGGTGTGGCGAAAGCTTGTAAGGTCAGCCAGGCTGTGTGTGAAAAATACCAACTGTCAGCTGCTACAGTGTTGCAACAGAGTGAAACGCACAGCACCCTTCAAGAAAGGTATCAAAAGTACTGTATTGTACCTGTTTTGCGCCCCAAAGTCTCACACCGGATTCTCTGCCGGGGCAAGTAGCGCAACTCCGTCAGGGTTCCGTTTGCCCTAGCCACAGCCTCTTGATCAGAACAACAAGCATTTTGTTCATGATAACCAGTCATAGTGTGGCAACGTCAGCAAGCATCTAGTCCCAGTCTCATGAGGAATGTGAAAGACAGATAGATGAAGCTCTGGTTTTGCTTCACTTGAAGATGTCCTTACCAAAGATTATCATGCAAGTATCTAATAGTAAAGGTTGCCATATAAAACGACTTGGTATTCTAGGAGAAATTTATGAGCATCAATCAATAATCATATTTACCAATGCTGTCATGATAGAGAATTCCATCCCTGACTTGTTTTCCCCAGCCATCAAAACTCAGAGCTGTGGATGAGTGGCAGAACTGTCCTGCCACAGGCTGCAGTTTTGGTCCGTCACAGGATCACTATCAACGAAAAATACCCGTTTACAACGGATGCCACGGATCAATATGGATTATGGCTGAAAATCCCCTGGCTTTTCGCTTGTCATCCTTCAAGTCTCGCCTAAGGTGACGGGTTAATAGCCGAGTCCGATCGGGTGTAAGCACATGGCCGGCATTTTCGCTTTCAAGTCCACGAATACCCGTCCTCGAGTTAGCGATTTGGAGAATTGGAGATTGTAGTGGTCTCTGATGGTTCGCCGGGCCATCAATAGGCTATCGCTTATCAATCTGTGACGGTCTCCGGGGCGGGATGCAAAATGCTGATCACCTCCGGCACGACGGAGCAAAGTTACGAGCGGCTTATGGAAGGGGGATGTTTTACTCCGAACTATCCTCAATGACATACATAAACTCTTCAGGTCTGTAGCATTCGTAGTTGACGTGTAACTGCAACCCTCAATGCCCCACGGTTTGCGCATGCCTGACGTAGCACTGATTTACTAAAGGGTTTGTGCTTCCGTAGATTAAGATTGCGATGCGTATCACATGAAGGAGTACTCCGTAGGACCGTTGCATTATTGGCATTCGCAAGGCCTCCCTTTGCTTACGCGGACCGAATTCGCGATTCTGCGGGATCGAGAATATGCCTCGTCGTGCCTCATTTAACTTTCTGCGTCATCTCGTATCGATCTCTTCCTCTTGAGGAATCTCGGGGAATTTGAGATGACTCAAGGGGCTGTCGGTCATTTGATAGTGAAGGCCCGGGACTTTTCTATGTGCATCGCCCTCATTGCCCTGAAATGTCTAGATTCCCGATATTGATGGCCATGAGACAGTTTTCAGTTTCCGTCATGACAACCTTGCTTCGGATTTACGAGGGAGCTTTTTCATCTTTTTGACTCGCCCTGTCTTGCCTGTCAAACTGTAACCATGAAGCTTCAGGGCACAGCTAGGATCTGAGAGTCTAGACCGCATCCATAATGCTTATCGATAGAAGTCGATAAGATAAGGTACTCCGCTTTTTATTTTTTCTTGCGCATTGTATCAAGAATATCTCATGGCCCATGTGAAACCTCTGTAGCAACACCAACATCGCAATTATGGCTGACGATGGAATGCTTCTGAATTTTGACCTGGGTTCAGGCCCAATTAAGCCCCAGGTCAAGTTTAAGGGTGGTCGATGGCGCGACAGGAAGCAAGCAGAGAAGTCGGCAAGGATAGCTTCTGGGAAGACACCACAACCCAAACCTTCAGGAGATGGGTTCGATGAGGGCAGGTCGTCAAAACGCCAAAGAACAGACGATGGAGGAGGAGACCATTCATTCGATTACAAGTCGTTGAACAGACACGGTTCGCGACCAAGGTACACAGACAATGATAGCCACGGAGCTTCAGGCCAACCTCGCAACCAGCAGTCAGACGGTAAAACGAGACAAGTTATCTCACGACTCTTCTCATTTAACCCCGCACAGACCACAGAGGTGGAAGAGAAACAAGCAGAATGGACAGCTCCCGAAGCAACCAATGCGCCTCTATCTGATGTTGCAAACTTTGGTACCTTGACGATATCTGCCCGACTTGTTGATGAGCTTGGCAAGATGAACCTAGAGCGACCCACGGCTATTCAGAACAAGGTGATTCCTCACATGTTAACGAGCAGCTCCGACGCTTTTGTGCAAGCCGAAACTGGTTCTGGAAAGACTTTGGCATATCTGTTACCTATCCTACATCGTGTTCTACTTCTCAGCGAAAAGGGGAAGGCTCAGATCCATCGAGACTCTGGTGCCTTTGCTATTATTGTTGCGCCTACTCGCGAACTCGCGAAACAGGTTCATACAGTTCTGGAGAAGCTCATCCGACCGTTCCCATGGCTCGTCTCGACAGCGATTACCGGAGGAGAGTCCAAGAAGGCAGAGAAGGCTCGCATACGGAAGGGTGTCAACTTTTTGGTCGCTACTCCTGGACGACTTGCTGACCATATCGATAATACCAAGGCGCTTAACCTCAGCACGGTTCGATGGTTGATTCTCGATGAAGGTGATCGACTTATGGATCTGGGTTTCGAGGATGACTTGAAGAAGGTCATCACGGCTATCAAGGCAGTTGACGTATCCGACAAACTACCTAATGGAACACCACTCACGGCCCTACCCGAACGAAGAGTTACAGTACTATGCTCAGCGACAATGAAGATGAATGTACAAAAGCTGGGAGAGATGAGTTTGGCAGATGCGACATTCCTGGCAGCAAAGAAGGAGGAGATGGAGCTGGATGTGGAAAAGACGGAAATGAAGGCACCCGCACAGCTTCACCAGTACTACTCTGTTGTTCCGGCCAAGCTACGACTCGTCACTCTTATCTCGTACCTCAAGGCGACATTCTCTCGGCGTGGAAAAACCATGAAGGCCATCATCTTCATATCATGTGCCGACTCTGTCGACTTCCACTACGAACTGTTACGAGACCCCAACAATAATGAGGCACCTGTTGCAGGCTCCAAGGATGCAGAGTCGGTCTCGAAGACAGTGGCAAAGGCAGCATACATCACGTCACCAGCGAGTCCCGAGGTTATTCTGCACAGGATGCACGGATCTTTGTCACAGCCCATCCGTACAGCTACACTGCGATCGTTCTCGGCTTGCAAGTCTCCATCGCTTCTGATCACCACCGATGTTTCCTCGCGTGGTCTTGATATTCCGTCGGTCGATCTGGTCATCGAGTACGATCCTGCGTTCAGTTTCGCCGATCATATCCATCGCGTTGGTCGTACTGCTCGTGCTGGTCGACCCGGTGATGCGTTACTTTTCCTCCTGCCCGGAACCGAAGAAGGATATATCGAACTCCTAAAAGCATCAACACCACCAACGCCGCAATCCTACGACTCTATTCTCCAGAAGGGAATGATGACGAAACTCGAATTCCCGGTCGAGACGTCTGCGAAACCGGAGGATGGACAGTCCTTCCACGACAAGGCGGAGGCCCTTCAGCTGCACATCGAGCAACGTCTCCTGGCGGACACCAAGCGACTAGAGCTTGCTCGAAACGGCTTCAAGTCCCACATCAGGGCATATGCTACGCATACTAAGGAGGAGAGAAAGCACTTCGACATTTCAGAACTACACTTGGGACATACGGCCAAGAGCTACGGTTTGAGAGAGGCACCTGGCGGCATCGGCGCAGGTGTGGAGAGGAAGACTAAGAAACGGACGAATAAGGGTGTCGAGAAGAATCCAGAACAGGCAGCTGGAGATGAGAGGCAAAACCAGAACATTATCAGGAAGAAGAGTATGATGCTGATGAATTCCGCGGCAGACGAGTTCAACATTGGTTAGATAGCACATTCCTTGGTTCAGTTGAGTTTTTATTAGAGCAGCATAACTAAATGCCGGGCATGATGATCATGTCCATGTTGATTTTTCTACATCTTCCTTATGACATTTACACATCTATTCACATGGTGCTCCCTCCTTGCGTGCGCGTCCAACGTCATGGGCCTTCCAAGATCTTGTGGCCATGACGATGCAACTCAACATCTCACATCGCACAGAGATCTCACGGTGCGTATCGAAACCTGCACGATACAAGTCGCGATGCTCTTGTTTGACCAGTCACAGCCTCACAGTCTGACAGCTAACGGATGAATGCGCCACAAAGGGCATCTCTCCGGCCATTCAAGGGTCCAAAGGTCCAGGACATGACATAAACTCACCATGGCAATTGTCGGGACATGCCTGCTAGTAATGCTCTTCTGCCCTATAACATCACTGATGAGGGACACTTCTGCATGTGTCTCAAACACCGGAATGCGTAATTATGTGTCGAGGGACGTCATTTTAGAGGTGCGGGAGGGATGGCTGTGTGGCTGGTGGTTAGATGTTGATCCAATGAATCCGGTCGACTTTGAAGGATACCCTGTGTTTGACGTCATTTGGTGATGTAACCTGGCGGATGATTTACAGGACAAGATATTGTTGAGATTCCGATGAGAATATGAGATATATTAAGAGAGGCTTCTTTCCACTGATTCTGCAGTTATTTATCTGCAATCTACAAGATCTCAAGCCTCAACCCAAATCTAAGACACATACACTACACTACCAAACTATATCCACCACCACCCACCAACCATCATCATGAACAACAACAACAAGAACAACCCCGCCGGCAACGTTGGCGAGACCGTTGGAGGAGGTCTCAACTTCCTCACTAGCACCGTTGGCAACACTGTCGGTGGTCTCGGCCGCACAGTCGGCAACGTTACTGGAGCCGCAACTCGTGGTGTTGGCGACACTGTCACCTCCGTGACTGGCGACGCTGGCCGCCCTCTCGGTGATGGAATTGGCAACCTAGGCACTGGAGTTCAGGGCGGTCTCGACAGCATCTCGAAGGGTGTTGAGAACGCTGGACAGTGGAAGAAGCAGTAAAGAATCACAACAATATAACGATAACTGGGAGTTGAGGAAGAATGTAATTATTTGGGACTATCACGACGGAGTGTAGGATTACGATTTGAGTTAATATGAACACAAACTTCTATTGAGCTTCTTATGCATTATCTATCCATGACATGAACAGTGAATTTTTTCGCATTATTGCCTCGATGATTATGCGTTACGTGCGCAAACGCATCCTCGCAGTATCGCCAACCGCTTATTTACCTCTCCACGATCATCAACGCTCAGGTCCTACAACAGTCAACATTTCAATCATGCAAATCCTTCTTCATGACCCGGCATCAAGCCGAGCACACAATGAAAGATGTGTTTATAAATCAAAAATTACGCCTCTCATGGCCCCGAAGGACAATGAAGTGCGGACGACTCCGCGATGTGCAATGCAGGCCGTCACACACTGAGCTCCCTCATTCTTGAGCGAGGAGGCTCCAAGCAAGGTAAGTATGAAGAGGAAAGGAAAAGAAAAGCAGAAGAAGAGAGGAAGAGCGAGATTATATAGAGGAGATTTTGGGGTGGCCCGTGCGTTGTTGACTGCCCCAGTTGCTAGGCCAACAGGAGCTATGGGTAGCTGCACGTGACTGCTGCATGGCTGCTGCGTGTGGCTAACATTTCGGAAGGTGCAGAGCCGTGACAGCTCGGCTGCGTGTGGAGAGCTTCATCTCCTTTGAGTTCAAGATGACCTTGGCGATTACCTCAATTGGGCACTTAAGCCTGCGATTACGGTAGACAAAATATTCGCCGACCACAATTATGTTCGAGAAGCTTGAACCGCACCAGTGGTAACAACTTAGCTAAGATTTACTAACACATTACAAACCTCAAGACCTACGCATCGATCGTGGCGCAGGCCTGTACAAGTGAATGCCCTGCCAGGCGTGCTTCGAGGATCACGATGGTCAACACGTGTTCTACGATGACAAGCGAAGACAAGCGCGAAGTATAATTCCCATGGCTTCCTTATCGAGAATTCATGCCCGAGGATGCCAGTGGATCTGGATATGCCCACACGCAGTGATTGATAATGATGTCTTTAGGGTAAGCGATCTTGGTCAATATCATGGAACGCGAGGTATCCAACGAGAATACTACATGGAGCTTCTGACAGCCTTCCCGAAACTTGCAGTTGTATTAGAGAAAGCTACAGTGATATTTTCGCAGATATCGGTCTTCATTATGTAAATTGGGACTTGGTTGTTGTGCTGCAGAGATGTGTAACATACCAAAGCCATATAGTGTTGGGATGAAATGCAGAAGAGAAGCTGCAGTGACATGCTGTCGGAGTTGGAGAATCATCTGCCAATACCGTTCGATATTACGGCTCCTCCCTTTGTGTTTGTACTAGTCGAGATGTTGCCAGCCGTTTCGAGCCAAGGGCCAAACAAGACTCGTATCCGCATCACCACAGTCACAAACCTACAATGTTACCAAACTACGGTGACATATCCTGAGTCTGACACGAGAGAATGCATGCCTTTTCGGAGGCCTCGCCTTCGACAACATCAATAGCATTAACCGTATTATGTCAGGCGAACCGAGGGCTAGGGAGGTCTGGGGTGCTAGCTTCGGTAGTTCGACCGTTCAGATATGAATTGCGAATATGCTTGTCTTAAAATCGGCGAGAATGTGGGATTCGTATTTAACTCAATGACCCAAAACGACCAGCGCTTAACGTTATCACAACAAACAATGGGGCCAAATATTCCGTATCTCAAATTCTTACAGTGATATCTATGAATACATTTCAACGTCAGCATACTTGTAGTCTCGTTCAATGCCCAATACAATGCTGGATATCACGGCAGTGGCTTACCTCCATTGGCGCACAGGTGAAACGTGTAAGCCAGGGCGCTTCAGAGTGCGCGCTCAGTACGGCACCAAATTGCCGGTGCAAAGTCAATTATCGAGACGCTTCAACATGGCTTGCTACACAGAAAGTCTCGGCTCGGTCTGGGACCCGGTTTGATCTAGCGCTCAGAGAGTTTCGAGGAGAAAGGTCAAACAGAAAACACTAAACGAAACCAATTCATTTCAGGGCTGGTTCGGGGGTATCAAACTGTCCGCGACGATACGGAGTCGCTGGAAACTCTTTGTCTGTCTGCATATGCCGAGTGGCTGTGTCTCACCTCACTGTTTGCTGTCCTTCTAAAGGTTTGGGGTTGGGCGGCCGCCCCTGTGCTTCATCCTGGTTTGAGGTTAGCGGAGGACCCTAGAGGATCCTACAGTGAGGCCGACAGGGGATAAAGTTTAACTCGACTTCATATAATTGGCATCAATTGGAATGACTATAAAGAGGAGGGATAGACTACCAAGATTTTGGTTGTATCATCAACAAACACTTACACACTCGCACCTATAAACACAACAAACATCCCTTCAAACAAAACAATTCCACTACATCCATCCACCTATCACCGCTAATACCACCACCACCACCACCACCAAAATGCACGCCTCTCCCATCAAGCTTTTGGCCCTTTCCGCCAGCGCCGTCTCCGCTGCCGTCCACGTCGTCAAGGTCGGAGAGAACGGTCTGAACTTCACTCCTGCTCAGACCTCCGCCAAGGTTGGCGATACTGTCGAGTTCCACTTCTATGAAGGTTTCCACTCCGTCGCCCAGAGCAGCTTCGCCAAGCCCTGTGAGCCTATCAACAGTACTGCCTTCTTCAGTGGTGACCAGAATGTCAAGACCAAGGTCAGCGATAAAGTCTTCACCATCGACGTGAAGTCCGAGGATCCCATCTGGTACTATTGCGCTGTCCAAGGTCACTGCCAGGGTGGTATGGTTGGTGCCATCAACGCTCCGTAAGTTGCACCATCTTGTAATCACTGCTACATATATGCTAACAACACAATTAGTACCAGCGGCGCTAAGAGCTTCGACAACTACGCCAAGGCTGCTGCTGACTCTGAAGACAGCTCTGCTCCCAAGTCTACCGGTGGCGGCAAGCTTGGCGCCGCTGAGACTGGAAGTGCCTCAGGTACTGCCTCAGGTACTGCCACCGCTACTGCTACAGAGAGCGGAACTGCTGCCAGCGCTTCCGCAACAGAAAGCGGAAACGCTGGTATCGAGACACGAGGAAAGATCCAATGGGGTCTCATGAGCGGTGCCATTGCCGCCCTCTTTGGCGGTTTGATGGTGTAGGAGAATCTCCTGCCAGTCAACGTTATGTTATGATTCCAGCCCTAGAGGCATTGTATTCGTTTCAGCTAGCGAGTTACTAGTCATGAAACATTATGTGTATAAACGCAGATAGACCGTCTCCTGCAAGGAGTAATATGAATATACCCAAACTTCTACCAATAACGAACGCTGAGGGAACACAAACTATCAATGTGTCTGAATTGTCAGAGGCTTGGCGAATCCAAACTTTGTGTTATGATTGTCCCGGCCTTTCAATACATGCCGCTCTACATACCATTCTGGAGCCACTCAAATGTATTCAACAACTCAAACCCAAATTTCAAAGACTGAGGAACCCCTGTACCCAACGGCTCCAGGTTTGTATTGCCAGCCGGTTCGGAGTTCAAATGCTCATCAAGCACACGCTGAATGATTGCTTCACAGTCTCCACAAACAACCCTGTTTGGCGAGCTGGGTCCAACCCAGTTCAGGAAAGCAACGAGCAAGCTCAGTTGTTGAACAATATTCGACCGTGAAAGAGCAGGATTCAAGGGATGGACTCCAAAGAAGGTTGGCCGAAGTAGTTCTTGACAGAGAATTCCTCCTCCTAGTGCTCCGTACGCTACCAGCTGTACATAAAATCAGAATGGGTCTCAATATTAGGAGATGGTGGTACTTACAAGCCATTCAAAGTTGCGCCTCATAGGCGCAAATCGATTCTTATGTATCCAGAGCATGACGGTTACCTTGACTAAATCGAAACTAGTCGCAAGTAACGAGCCATCATCGATGGCCCCATGGGTGAGAAGTAATCTCTCGACCACAAAGACATCTTTTCGATGGGCAAGATGAAGCAGTATTCTCAGGTATAGAATATTTATGTCGAGTTGTGGATCATCTAGATCTTCGAATTTGAAAATCAAATGTGAAGGCATTTCGAGAAACGTTTGCGTCACTCGGGCTTTGATATTTCTCCCTAGCATTAGCATATATCAAAACATTATCACATCGGATAACTTACTGAAGATATTCAAGCGTGACATGAGCATCGTTGCCAAGTGCCACTTCTATCACCTCGTCAAAGACATACGACATCAAGTAGCGAGCCCGTATGTAACTGTTGCTGGAAATCTCACACTTTGTATTCCAACCGTTATCATCCAGAGCGTTGAACTCTTCTATCAGTGTGTCCTCAGATACCATACAGCTGTCTGGCAAATCCAAAGGTGGTACTGATGAGCAATAGCGACGACTTAGTAGTGGTGGCCTGCCAGTAAAGGAGACCTCGGATTTGTCATTTGCAAAAATGTAACTGTAGAGCAAACGCTTATGTTCGACACAAAATGAAGGTTTCTCGGGTCGTACTTGAGGTCTCGATGCCTCTCCTGAAGCGTGAAGGCCCATAAATAGAAGCATTGAGACACACAGACTGTGTGAGTTCCAGTAAACAGGGCCTAAAGAGTTAGTATAATAATACCAGACTTGATCGTGAACTCACTAGCATCGCCATAAACCATAGTTCCAAGAGCTGCCTGTCTTCGACAGAGATCAAGGAGCATACCATTACCAGCTGTGAAATGGCGTGCGATCTCAATGCAATAGTGTATGTGATCGTGCGAGATCACAGACGATCGCTTGCCTTCAGCCCATTGAAGCTGACGATGTTTCAGGGTCGATATTGCATCTGAAAGACCTTCGAGATGAGCCCACAGAAGACCTATCGATTCCCATCGAATGTTCGGCCCAGAGAACTGGTCTATCCAGTCATCAAACCTATCGAAGGTATCGTTAACAGGCTTTGAAGTGTTACGGCACAGGACATCAGCAACCTGCTCATCAAAGCATTCGCTGTCCTCAAAACTTTGAAAAAGCTGCCGCAGCGATATAATGATTCTTGATACAGCCGCATGAGACCAAGTCGTGGTGTTTTCAGGGCCAGGTTCGTCATAAAAAATCATATGTGCTTCTGGTCGTCCCGGGAGATACTGTAGTACAACAAGGCACATTTGCTGTGTCGGCAAAGGCAAGCTGCGTAAACAAACATCATCATTCCCAGGACTTGATACCTCCGGGCTGGGAAATTCAGAGCCTGTGTCAGAAACAGACAGACTCTCTCGGGCTCCTTGGAAGACCGAGGTGTAACTTGTAAAACCAAGGTAGCCTGGACTGAACGCGTAGTCTCGTGTCATAGGTTTGGCAGGTTGGGGTGAGAGACCTGGACGTGGCTGAATCGAAGCTTTGACTCGTGACACTGGTGATGATGCTGTGTAGACACAATTATCTCCTCTTCTCTGACATCGCATACAAATGGGTCGTCTGTGATCACACGCGACTTTGCGTGCACGACATGGGTCGCAAGCTTCTGGTCGTCCATTTGGTCGCCGAGACCTTTGGCATGCATCGCTCATAGTGGTGACGGCATTTAGTTCCGAATACAGTGGTGGCCGATTGGAATAAGAGATCAAATGAAGAGGCCAAAGCCATTTAATAACATTAAAATACGACCCGAAGATACCTGTCAAATCAAGACGTAGATCTAGAAAATGATGAGGTTCTAAGCGGTTGTCGGAGTCATAATTGACAATTCTTGTCCAGCTCTAACCCAATATCACTATGAGACCCTTAGAACGACAGGGTCGGGTCAGCATGAGTCCCGATTTCGGCTTGTAACCAACCATCGAGCTGGGTTTAATAAACATTCATATCAAATAGTTTACTCACTACATCTCCGCTGGATCCATTATAGCACTTATTTCTCGTATTTAACTGCGTTTGGCTAAGTGAATGTGGATAAGCCTACAAATTTCAAAACAGTCATTGAGGCTCCATTATCGTCACGCTCAGGCACGATGTTGATGGCTTGAAGCAGTTCTCTGGAGTTATTGCCATAGAATGTTATGCAAATTGTTAGGGAAAGACTGAATATATATATGAAACCGTTGCTTGGGAAAACATGTTATTTCATAGATTACCTAAGTAACGTTCTGAATGAAGGTTGTCATGACAAAGTTGCTTGCATATATGTATGCATTTAGAATGAGCAAATCACCGTGAAATACAACAAGGATGATGGATACTATTCCTCATATAAAGTGCTCACTAACTCGAGTTAATAGTTTCGCATTCAGAATAAAAAAGCCTATATTTCTATTGTTTTTACTTTTCCTAGTGGAGTGAAGCTATCATAAACCCACTGTAAACCTTGCATACTTTTAGCGTCGCACATGCTAAAAAGTGGCGGGGCCTTTTTTTTAGTCCAAATTTTTTGTCGCATTGAATGTTTTCTCGATTCAACCACTTCAAGACATTTGCGACAATGGGCAAAAAGAGCTTCAGGGTGCGCACACACTTGACGCAACACCCCAATTGCGACCTATACTGACATATACATAGGGAAAGAACAGAAGAGGAGGCGGTGGCGGCCGAGGTGGTGGTAACCAGGACAGAGGTGGCTGGAGAGATTATCCTGCCATTCCCAAGGAGAACGAGAAGCTCCAGCGCTTCTATGATACCCTCCTTCAGCTGCCTGAAGAGGAGAAGAACGCCTACTGGGAGGCTCTCCGACGTGAGCTTCCTAACAGCTTCAGGTTTTGTGGCTCTAAAGGGTATGCTCTATCGCAATCGCTCGCGTAACGCGAAATCTGACTGCTAATTTTAATGCGCTTTCAGTCATGCCCTTCTTGTCAAGAGCCTTCTCCAGACCAGATATATCCCCGAAATCGTCAAGATTGAGCATCAAGATGGCCGACCTGTTGAACCTCCCCAGCCTGTGCCCTGGTACCCCGACGAGCTTGCTTGGTGGATGACTACCCCCAAGAATGTCGTTCGCAAGTTCCCTCCCTTCGCCGCATTCCAGAAATTCCTGGTCTCCGAGACGAGCGTTGGAAACATCAGCCGACAGGAGGTCGTCAGCATGATCCCCCCTATGCTGATGGATCTCCGCCCTGGCATGACCGTCCTTGACATGTGTGCTGCTCCTGGAAGCAAGGCGGCGCAACTGCTCGAGATGATTCACCAGGGTGAGGAGGCTCGTGTGCGCAAGGTCCTCCGATCTTATGCTCAGGAAGATGGCCTGGATCTCGGTGCCGAGACTACGGATGAGATTGAGGCCGACCTCGAAGCCGACCCCAGCGACGCTGGACGGGCTACTGGAATGCTTGTCGCTAACGACTCCGATTACAAGCGTGGACACATGCTCGTCCATCAGCTCAAGCGCCTTTCTTCCCCTAACCTTCTCGTCACGAACCACGATGCTACCCAGTTCCCTTCGATTAGACTCCCGGCCAAGGATGGCAAGAAGCCTACCTACCTCAAGTTCGATCGCATTCTGGCTGATGTTCCTTGCTCCGGTGACGGAACTCTGCGAAAGAACGCCAATATCTGGAAGGATTGGCAACCCGGAAGCGCCCTTGGCCTGCACCTCACCCAGATTCGGATTCTAGTTCGCGCTCTCCAGCTCCTCAAGGTTGGTGGCCGTGTCGTGTTCTCTACCTGCAGTATGAACCCTGTTGAGAACGAGTCCGTCGTTGTCTCAGCCATTGAGCGATGTGGTGGACCCGCGAATGTAGAGATTGTTGACTGTAGCAACGAGCTGCCCAACCTGAAGCGATACCCCGGAATGAAGGACTGGAAGATCATGGATAAGAGTGCTCGTATCTGGAGCTCGTGGAAGGAGGTTGAGGACTTTGCCAAGGAGAATGCTGATGGTGTTATCCCTGGACGAGTCGTGGAGACCATGTTCCCTAGACTTGAGGGTGCTGAGTGCGCTGACCTGCCTCTTGAGCGCTGCATGAGAGTCTATCCTCATATGCAAGATACTGGTGGTTTCTTCATCACTGTTTTGGAGAAGAAGTCTGAGTTCAAGGCTAAGAACGAGAACGAGTCGAAGGAGACCAAGCAGCCCGCTAAGACTGAAGAATCCGCCGAGGCTACTCCTGCTGAGAAGGTTGCTGAAGAGGCACCTGCGAAGGAGGAGACCGAGGCGAAGACCGAGTCTGAGACGGCTCCCGCTGAAGCTGAAGCTACACCTGCCAAGGCTGAAGAGAAGCAGGAGGATGTTGCTATGGCCGATGCGTCCACCAACGGCAGCAAGCGACCTCTCGAGACCGAGGATGCTCAAGATCAGCCCGCTAAAAAGGTCAAGACTGAGTCTACTGAGCCCTCAGCCGCCGCTACTCCTGTTGCCCAAGTGACCCAGGAGGGTAGCAAGCCTCGCCGAAACGGCCCTGTCGAGGAGGCTTTCAAGTACCTGGACGTTTCACACCCTACCGTCCAGAACATCAAGGAGTTCTATCATATCTCCAAGCGCTTCCCCGACGATCGATACATGGTCCGAAACGAGATGGGTGAGCCTGCCAAAGCTATCTACTACACCAGCGCACTCCTCCGCGATATCCTCATCGAGAACGAGGGCCGTGGCATTAAGTTCATCCATGGCGGTGTCCGCATGTACATGAAGCAGGATGCTCCCTCGGCTGATGTCTGCAGATGGCGTATCCAGGCTGAGGGCATGCCCATCCTTCAGGGTTACGTCGGCGAGCCCCGTGTTGTGCACCTCCACAACAAGGAGACCTTCCGCAAGCTTCTCATCGAGATGTTCCCTCGCATCAACGATGGCAAATACGAGCGCTTCGACGAGATCGGCGAGCGTGTCCGAGATATCGGCATGGGTTGCGCTGTTCTCCGTGTTGAGCCTGACGGCACAGACCCCGACTTTAGAGAGCGCATGGCTCTCCCTCTCTGGAAGAGCATCCACTCACTTAACCTCATGCTTCCCAAGGAGGACCGATCTGCTATGCTACTACGTATCTTCAATGATACATCTCCTCTCATCAACATCGCTGCGCAGAAGAACCAGAAGGCCGTTCAAGACGCCAAGGAGGCTGAGGCTGGTGATGATACCAAGGAGGAAGTGGATGTTGCGGATCTTCCCTCGCCGGAGGAGCCAGCAACCGAGCCTGTAGAGGCCGAGGAGGAGAAGATGGAAACGGCTTAATATGGGACAATGTACAATTGCTTTATGTTATTTCGGTGTTGTTACAGTTTGAATGATGACAGGGATGAAATGTTGATACAGATGGTATAATACAAGATGTCTCCAAACTTCGTCTACTCGTCTAGTAATCCCACAGTCCAGTGTACAATTCTATCTACGCCCTGGCCATTGATTGCGCTCACTGGGATAACGGCGCAATCTTTTGTCCAAGCATCCGCCACGCTGCTTGGATGTGGCTTTTCACCTTTTGTGACACTATCAAGGTATTGTTTTAATTCCTTGAAGTTTTCTTGTGTCTCTGGCAGGTCAGCCTTGGTTGCAACAACAAACCATGGCTTTCCAGCAATCTGTAGTCCTGGCTTTGAACTGAAATCTTGATCGTTTTCGAACTCAGGGGATAGATTCATGGGACCATCCATATCTGACGCGACATCCCAGTCAATGCGAGACTCGATTGCGCGATCAGCTTCTTCTTCATCACGCATTTGTGCGTATAATCCAACCTCGCGCCATAGTGAGTCCAGGGCCTTAACTGCATTACCAGCAGACAGGTCAATGACGAAAGCGAGTACACCAGCGCGTTCGACATGGCGCAGGAAAGCAATGCCCAGACCACGGTCAAGATGCGCACCTTCGATTAGCCCAGGAATGTCAGCAATCGTGAATCGAGTGCGTGGTTCAGTGTCGACTGCTTCGGGCAGACCCAGTTGAGCAGGATAGCGGCGATAACTCTTGATTACTGGTCGACCGGAATACTTGTCAAGGACAACCGTACCAATATTGGGCTGAAGAGTTGTAAAAGCCCAGTTGCCTACTCGAGTACGGCTGTTCGTGATGGCACGAAGGAGTGTACTTTTTCCAGCATTAGGAAGACCGACGAGGCCGACGTCAGCAAGGAGCTTGAGCTCAAGCTCAATCTTCATAGTAACAGCCTCTTCACCCTTGGTGGCAAACATGGGCCGAGGATGCGCCCTAGATGTGAAGTGGGGGTTGCCTAAACCACCAATACCTCCAGTTGCAAGAAGGATTGGCTTGGGGGTTGGGCGGGATAAGTCGAGATGAATGGTGGGAGGCGGTTGTTTAAGAAGTCGAGTTCTTTTAGGCAATCGAGGAAAGACGGTTTGTTTGATATCAGTCTTGGAAAGGCCGGGATATAAAAGCCATTTGCGACGTTCAGGATCCTGATCACCCTCCTCTTCATCCTCTTCGACTTGTTCCTCCTCCTCCTCCTCTTCATAAGCCTCTTCGTTCTCATCTTGTCTCCGCTTTCGCTCCAGAGCAGCCATACGCTCCTCCATTCTCTTTTGTTTCTGCTGAGCGCGCCACAAGCGCATATCCATCTCTTCGTCTAGCACCGGATCCTCACGCTCCAATTCACGGACCACTGTTCCCACAGGCACAGTTATGATGATATCCTCTCCTCGTGTTCCACCCTTTGCACTTCCCTGTCCATGCTTGCCTCGGCCGGCTCGAACAAATCGCTTGCGCGCCAACTTGTGCAGCGAGGTTTCGCCATGCGCCGCTTGGATGTAGACATTGCCGCCGTGACCACCATCGCCACCATTGGGAGGGCCTTCAGCAAGATATGCTTCACGCAGAAAAGAAATACAGCCGTTTCCACCTCTACCAGCATACAGGGTCAGAAAAGCTTTGTCCGAGAAACTGGGAGACGCATAGTCGTCGGGAGCAGGGTTGAGTCGTGACTCTGGAAGATCGTTTACGGTGGAGTTGAAGCGACGTCGGAGAGCTGCTGTGCTGGCGAGGGTGTGTCTGGACAGGAATATCGAAGGATATAGGAATGGTAGGAGTGTCGATGACACAACCGGGCACCGTGGAGCCATACTAAAAAGCTTGTGCGACAATTCTGGTGTAGAATTGAAGCTGTTATGTTGAATATCTTTGGATCATGTCTTGCCTTGAGCTTGGTCGAAATTTGCTGGGGTTGCTGATTAGATAAGATCCAATGAATTGCGTGAGTATTTGATTTGAACATGGCAGAGCAGATGATAAATGAGATAGTGCAAGTACAATATTTCTTGAATTTATCGAATAAGGCTATAGCTTCTGTGCCATTATGTAGGTATAATTCCAGGCATTGGTTTCTCTCAGGTACTTTGATCTCAGCCAGCGTCTCGTCATGAAGTGGTTTTCGTGTAAGTCCTAAAAAGGAAAGAGGACTTCAGTGAAGAGCTACCTGCCTACCACCAACCTACAAGGCAACCGCCGGCTTGGATCTATGCCTCAGGTCTCAGCTAGGACTAACGAAGGAAGGCAGTGCTGAGAGTTTCACGACCTCTTTCTCTCCTCCTCTGATTTCTCCTCTCTAATTCTCACACCGTGATACCTTCAATCTCGTGCCATGTCAACATCTCGTCCGTCCGACATGTCGCAGCCAATTGCCACTAGCCCATGTCCTGTATCACACTCACGGACCTCACTTCCGGTGGGCGCTCTGAGAGAAACGCCCACGCACGCGCTGTACGAGTGCGAGCATGCGATTTCTAACAGGCTGCTCGATTTCTGATATTATACACAAGACAGCCGATAAAGAAGCGACTGTTTTGAACTCTATTCAACACTCTTTCGACGATGCTCCCCTGGCTGTTCGTCTCGCCTCGCCCCGACGGGATCCTGCAGCTCACCCAGAATGGCCCATCGCTGATGTCCATTGCTATTTGACCAGCATTGGGCTAGCCCCAGCTTCCCGAACTTAACAGCAAACGCCAGCTGACGCCAAAATGCGGTGAATCGGTGTTGCAGCAATGAATAAAGCCAACAGAGCCTCTTGTCTGTCTGTGGTCAGCCTTTCAGTGTCCCCTCTGCCGTCTTCTTTGCCTTAGTACTGGGGTTCTTATTAACGATTGAACTTACCTTCATTCGTCGACTCTTGATAGATGCTCACTGGCTTACCACCGTTAACCCAACCGATGACCCATTTGTCACGCCTGGCTGTCTCTTGCATTCTTTCAACTTCGCCAGTCGATCCAGCTCCAGCCCCTTCTGCAGTACAATATCTCACGTCAAGCTCACATAACTTTTCTCGGTCAACTCTCGTCTTGACTCTTCGTTGACGTCCCACTCACCCCTCCATCTGGTGTACTACTGCTTGTCAACACCACCCTTCCTAGCAGAAAGCACATGAGCCGCACAATCACCCAACGACAGTTCGCCGCCATCGACCCCTCCCTTGTACCAGTTCGAAGCCATTGGGCCAGCCTGCATACGATCCGTGGTCCCGCATTCGAGCCACGACTGTAGACGTGGTCGGCCTGTTCTCATTCGATCTCTCCACATAGCTTCCATCGCTTCCCCACGCGACTTCTTCCATCTCGCTCTTCAGTTTCTCCCTCCATTTCCAGCTTGAGCCCCGAGAGCTGCTGGTGCTTGCAGTGCAGCATACATACGGCTCCAGCGAAACAGCTGCTCGCCTTCCCAAGCTGGTTCTCGACGGGCAAACCAGACCATTTTGCAACCCAGTGTCGTTATCTCCTTACCGCCACGCCGTCAATCGACTTTAACACGGCTCGTGCCTTTTAGCTAGGTCCGTTTTAACTTCTCTCTGTCATCCTTATCCCTACCTCCTCCCCCATTTCCTGTCTTCCCATTGTTCAATCTCACTGTTGCTGGTCTTTTCTCCTACGCACATACAACCTTATGAAAGACTTCTGCGGGGTTGGAGGGGGATCTTACGTTGTTGTCATGAGTTGACCGTAGATGAATATTGTTTTTCTGGCCATCTTTTGCACTACGCTCACCCGCTCTAATTTGGTGTAAACCAATTCGCCTGATATCACAGCTAAGATGTTTCCCAGAAGTTATCCTTACAGTGGCAAGTCTATCTTCAGGATGGATCCTGATTGCGCGATATGCCACGCTCCGGCCAACATGGCATGCGAGTGTGAGGCTAAGGGCCTCGACGTTGCTGTCAAACAAGCCGAGGATCGCATGATGCGGTCGATATACAATGAAATACGGTACATAATTTTGCCCTTCCATCACACTGCGAAGCAGTTCTGACTGTATCAATCCATAGTTCTTGGGTCCGAGGGCATGCACAAGACTACATACTTGAATACTTCCGCCTCCTAACTGATCAACGAAAAACTGCCCATGCTGCGCATATGGATCGAATTACTGCCCACGCCTATCACTACTACCACGCACCGCCTCATCCGACACAAGTTGCTGAAGCGCAAGCGTCGCTCAAACGCGGAATTGACGAAGACTGGCAAGCGAGCGTACAACGGTATCCTGAAGTTTTGGAATATTTCTTTGGACTTGTTGAACTTACACTACCGGCGGAGGATGAGCCAGCTGTAAAGGATCCGCCATTGGGCTCATTGGCAAGCTCGCGAAAAGTGAATCGTCGAAGCGGTACTGCCCCTCCCGGTGCCTCTGCTGTAGTCGCACCCCCAGGATATCGTGGTGATCCAGGCCAGATGCATCCGCAGGAGCCTCCTATGCCCCGACCCGATCGTCGAACTCCCGGCCCTCAAATGAGACGGCCTAACTTTGGGGCTATCCCGCCGCCAATGCCGGGAGCCTATAATTTCCCTCCTCCATACTGAGCGATTACAAATGGCCAATACGTTAATTGTGAGCATCTATCTCCGGGTGCTGAGTATGCTACAAAAAATCCATATTACGATTTCTACGAACATCACGACCATTGCATAACTAGGGCGTGGAGTATTACCGGCATAGCAAACCACGGCGGCACCATTACTGGGGTTTTTGAAGTTTGGGCTGACGATGCCATTTGTGTTTGAGTAGAAGCTTTCCCGCCTGGCACTTTTTTCCTTTGGAGTAACTGGGGTTAACAAAGTTTGGCGATTTTGTCTGTATCTGAAATTACAAATACCACGCCACTGAAGGCAAAATTATTAACGACGCACAACCTCATTTGCCTTTTTGATATGCATCACGGCGAACAGACATGTCTTGGTTGGATGTGTGGGAGACGGTGCGAAAGAGGGGCACGCATCCGAGGCAGTCGAGGTCATGGCGATAGGTCGAAGGATGTGAGCTAGGTTATGCAAGCTCATGCCGGCGTTTTCAACACATCATCTGCTGCAGTAAGACGACAGTCTACTGTACATACACAGGTACATGACCATGTCTTGGCCGGCCGCATACACGCATGCACACAACAGCAAAACAAGCAGAAAAGAAGGCAGAAAAGTGTAAACCCAAAGAGGCACAGCAGTATATGCCCGAAGGCTCAGCCCAACTAAACTTTGATGCGGGCTTGGCTCATCATGTCTTAGCAAATCTGTCCATGAACGGCAATAAGCAATTAACCCGACCCTAGGGTCGAGATTTACAGGGAACCCGATAACCGAGTGTCATGTCACGCAAAATGATAATGGATGCCATGCATCATGAGATTGAACCAACTTTTTGTCATTTTCCTTGCGCATGACTTCAATAAGAAACTGCGCCTAATTACAAAAACAGCACAAAAAAGCGCTTTTTAGATTCGCGCATGTGACGTTGAAAGAGGGAGAAGGGATGCATGAAGCAGGAGGTAACTCAGACAATAAAGTTGGTGGGCGAGACAACTTTGAATAACGTTTGATATAAGCTCAACGCTTGATTTAGTATGCCGAGTGAGCGCCAGAGGATTCCAACAGATTTCGGAAAGGACGAGGACAATAAGTGATCAACTGGGACGAGATAGAGAGCGCAGGAGGAATTTGTAAGCCCAGGGAGCATCGACGGTATGGGAGATTACCGACGAGCAATCAATGTTGCGACGAGAAGGAAGTTTTACGACTCCTGCTTGTCAGCAATAGAAGTCTCCTTCAGGTCAGCAGTGGTCTGCTCGACCTTGTCGCCGTTAGCCTCAGCAGCCTCGAGTTCAGCAATCTCCTTCTTAGCCTTCTCAATGTTCTGAAACAGTAATTAGCATCGTCTCTTCGTAAGCACTTTATGAGATGGATGACTTACACGCTGGGTCTGGGCCTCCTGGTCGTTCTTCCAGAAATCGAGCTTGGCACGGACCTTCTCAGCGACAGCAGGGATATCGGCAGCACTCATAGGAGGGTCGATACCCATGGCAGCACAGTCTTCGACAACAGCTGGGGGAACGTTGAACTTGTTCGATGAGCCGCCGTGAGCAGTCTTCTTGCCCTTCTTACCCTTCTTCACGGCAGGGGCGTACTCCTCATCACGGTCCTCCTTGCGAAGGAGTTTGGTGCCCTTGAGACCAGACTCGTCAACGCTTCGCTGGGCCTGAGCACCGAGTCCAGTGTCGGCCATCAGAGGACCCTTCTCAACCTTGTGGTTAGGATCCAGGAATTGGAGCAAGCTGTTGGCGCGGCGGATCTCGTCGAGGTAGGCAGGGTCGCTGGCATCACCCAGACGACGCTCAGCCTCAGCCTTCTTACGCTCTTGGTGGTAACGCTCCTGCTCAGCCCTTTGCTTCTCGCGGTAACGCTCTCGAGCCTCACGGTCGTAGGCCTGATAAGCCTTCTTCTGTCCGTAATAGTCATCCTTGAGCTTGCGGATAGCGGTATACTTTTCCTGCTGTTCGGCCTGGAGTTTGGAGCGCTCATCACGGAGGCTGGAGATACCCTTGTAAGCCTCGTCTTGCTCGGCCTTAATAGCATCGATCTCGGCCTGGATCTTGTTATACTGCTCGGAAAGAGCCTTTTGCTCAGGGTCGTCCATGCTATCCTTGATCTCCTTGATCTTGGCGCGGAGATCATCAATTTGCTTCTGGGAATCCTCAAGCTGCCCGAAGTTCTTGCGCATCTTACGGAGACTGGAGATGTCTGACAAGGCCTTCTTCTCGTCAACCAGCTTCATGGTACCGGAGTTAACCTGCTTGTCCAGGCTAGCAATCTGGCGGTCGAGGTCCTCGAGGCTCTTGAAGGGAACCTTACTCTTCGCAGCCTTTTGCTCATTGATTCGGCTTCGGACTTGCTCATCGAGGCGCTTGATTTGGTCGAGCTTAGTAGAACGGGCGTTCTTTCCGCCAGCCTGCTTCTGTCGAATCTCGTTGGCCTGAGCAATGAGCTCTTGTCGTCGCTTTTGGGTAGGGTTGGGCTGGTCCTTGTTCTTGTTGGGCATAGCAATCTCGATCTTAGCCTTGACAGCGGCCTAGAATAGTATAATTGTTAGTTGATATTGACTCTAATAGCTCCAGCTCATGAGGCCACAGAAGTGGAATCTGGGTCGATTCAAGCCACATTTTCAAAAGGAGGGGAAATGAACGAGATCATACCAGACGGTCCATTGAAGCCTTATGCTCCTTCTCAGCCTTCGCGAGTTCCTGCTTAAAAAGATTCTCATCGGGCTTGGCAGGTCGAACATTAGCTTGCTTGTCCGCCTTGTCCGCCGCAGGGGCGGGAGAGGTTGCGGATTCGGCCATTGCGATGAGAGGAGAATACAAAGACGAGGACCAAGATGAAGCAAGTGGGAAACAAGAAACCAGGAGCGAGATTGCTCGAGGAGAAGTGAAAGTGCGAGGCTTAAAGTGAGCAAAGTTCGACACGTGTTGTCGAAAAGGAGGAAAAAAAAGACGACCCCAGAATAAAGCTAAGGTAAGGTGTAGGTAGAGTAGTTTGGTGCGGTGCAGTGCAAATGCAGTCTCGGCCTCCTTCTGAGGTAAAGTTCTGGACCCGTGTCTCTTGCTGTGAATTCTTGGGGCAGGCCCGTGCACCCCTGAGCTGTCTCTCTTGCCATTGTCTCGCTCAGTATTACTGCTCGCTCTCTTTTTGCTCCTTCTAGAGGTGCCCCTCCCTTGGGACTTGGGTCCTTCCCCTAGCGTTAGCTGGAAAGACCACTGAGCTTCACTGGCGCATCCCAGGTCCAGGGGTTCCTTCCCGCCCCACCTTCCATGATTAGACTCGACCTCTCGTGGTGGCTGATGCAGGGATAAGTGGCGGTGCGTGGCGCTCATCTTAATCACATGACCCCATCAGTGCTCTGACCCGCTCAAAGAAGTTTGGACTTTTGCGGCGACGATGCAAGGCTGAACGAAACATTTTTGACGACGCTCGCGACCCCGACCCTTCTTTTTGCCTTTGCTATCTCAACCACCAACGTCACATCTCGAATCGCATCTCACACTCGCTACCATGGATATCGATCACGTCCCCACAGACGCTAGGTCAAAGGAGGTTGTTCGCCTTTGGCGAGCATGGAGAACTATCCATGAGATGGTCGCGGACCGAGTACGTTTGTCCTTAGAGTCTTTATAATAGACTTGTGAGAAACGCGCAGCATTTTCAACTGCGTCGCTTTAATATAACCAGAATCAAACTGACGTTTGAAAGGAATACGAGCTCGCTGAAGAAGAAGTCAAGATTTCTCTCGACCGCTTCCGCGACGAATACTGCAACCCCGACGGTTCCATCAAGTAAGACCGGCTATACTTGCGACATCGCAAAGAAACCATGGAACTAACAGCTCGACTACAGCCGCGCCAAACTTCAATTCTCAGCGCGTCCCAGCGAGAACATGATCCGCAAAAATACACCTCCCGTGACAGCAGCCAATCCCAACCCCAACCCCGGCGCCGACTGTGGCCCAGTCTGGGTTGAGTTCCTCGCTGATAAGACTTTCGGCGTCAACCAGATCCGACAATTTGCTAAATACGTGATCACGAACAACTACAAGACTGGCATCATGGTGACACACGTTCCTCTCTCACCCGCCGCTCGCAAGACTCTCCAGAGTGTCGAGTCCGTCGCTAAGATCGAGTGCTTCCTTGAGGATGACCTTCTTGTCAACATTACCCACCACGAGCTTGTTCCCAAGCACGTCTTGCTCTCCCGCGAGGAGAAGCTCGCTCTTCTCAAGCGCTATCGTCTCAAGGAGACCCAACTACCACGTATTCTGCAAAAGGACCCTGTTGCTCGTTACTTGGGTTTGAAGCGGGGTCAAGTCGTCAAGATTATCCGAAACAGTGAAACAGCTGGTCGATATGCCAGTTATAGATTGTGCGTATAGATGAACTATTAAGAACGGGGCTGTCTTGAGATCGAGTCGAAGATGAGAGCTGTTGGATGGTCAAGGAATGGAAAGGCTTTTGGTACGAGGACGGAGGCGTCACACTGCACTTGAAATTCTAAAAAAGCTGGCGTTTCAGGGGTTCTATGTATATTGTGCGTTGCCGCAGCAAAGCCAATAAAGGAATATAAAGCATTTACGAGTTACTCTTTGCCCGTTGCTCTGCGTAGGTAGATGCGAGGCTTCTGAATACCTTAATTATATATAGTCTTGTTCTTCTAAAGCGACAGATTCCACTACGACATTGAATTATATTGTTACCTTGCCAGCGAGGTGTCTTGATTGGGATCGTTGTCAGGCAATTCGGGATACACTCAGATTGAACAAATCATGTCAATGCCATTAAACGTTAACTTGGCTTTTGCCGGGTATATATAACCAATAACCATGTCATCCTGACACACAACCATAAAAATCCCAAATATATCATAATGCAAACCGCGATAGTTGCGCGAATGCCTAATTCCCAAATCCTGCCTCGTATCGAGACTTCGCATATACCCAAGTAAAAGATCACTGCCTGCGTATTACTCCTGTCCTGCTAACCAAAAATACCTTTAGAGCCTGTTGCAGAAACGCCACAGGCCGTACATAAATCTTCCAAGCCAGGCCAAATAAATTCCATAAGAAAGATCGCTGTTGTCGTGAGGTAGTCGCATGTGAAAATGTGAAGATGTCGTCAAAGGTGATGGCATATGATGCCAACGATTATTGCCACCCTAGTTTAGAAGGCCACCGGGATCCCTCAGCTCCGCCACGGGCGGTCCTTGCAAATCGTATCGTGACTCCTGTCGGGATTGCGGTATCGGTTGCAATTCTGTTCCTCCAGGCTTGGACTTGGATCGACTTGATCTCGAATTCATAGGTCCAAAGAGGCCACCGAGGTCTTGAAGCAAAGCAGTTGAACCTCGGCGAAAGCCTCTGGAACCTGCTGGTAATGAAGGCGCTGGGGGCGAATGCGACTGCGAAGAGTCTTCCTTAGATGACGCACGACTGTTTGCTCGAAGGCTCCCAGAACTCTCGGGGGGCACGTCAAGCAGACCACCGACGTCGAAGAAAGAAACTCTCCTTGGTGCTATGCCGGTCTCACTTTTCGATTGGGAGAGTGGGTCGTGTTGTATCAGAGAATCATCGCTGTGCTCTGCGTTGCTGCGTTGTCTCTGGGGAAATTGCCAGCGCTCGAGGTCTTGATCAAGTTTGCGAAGAAGGGGGGCCGGGGTGTATTGCAGAGCACCGTTCTCGCTCGAGTTATCGGGCTGGTCCTGAAGTTCTGGGTCAACGGTCATACCAACATCCCGCACAAGGTCTTCATCGCTGCCCCAGTGTCGGTGCAAGGTCGGGCGGCGGAGGTTAAGTGAGGGATCGAGGGACTCGGCCACTGATGAACGGCGGAACTTTTGCTTCTTCAGGCCGCGATCACGCACGAAAGATCCCAACACGAGTGAGTTTGCCGCAGCCGTGGCAAAAAGAAGCTCAACCGACGCCAAAAGCGATCGATACTGCTGACGACCGTGATCATCAATGATATGGGGCACCCGATAAAGAGTAACCCCAACAACAGACAGACTGAGAGAAAAAAGAAGCACAAGCTGTATCTTCCTCTTGATTGTCATTCCGCTGGTGACAATGATTGGAATTGGGAAAATAACAAGCAACAAGTCGGTGACCACGTTGCAGACTGCCATCGTGAGAAGCTGCACGTAACCTTGACGGCACTGACCACCAGGATCAGGCACAACCTGCCAATAGTGACTGTAAGGGCGGCATTCGACAAAGTCACTGATGACGACCGCGATGAAAGTAGCTACGAGGATTATTCGAATGACGTATAAAGACGTCTGCCATGATCGTTCCCACGTCGCTCGAGTCAATCGGTGAAGAAACTCGAGAACTGCGAACTTAAGTACCCAAAGGCTATGACCAGTCAGCGTGAAATCCAATGTTCGCGTTACCCTTTGAAAGATTCGGACGATGAGCAAGGCTTAAATGAGGGCGGTACATACGTTGCGGCGTAGAAAATCCTACTGGCAAGCACAAGACCGCTACCAATGGCTTTTTGACGCAATTGTACATCAGTAAGCTCAACACCATCAAATTGAGCATTATTGGTTCCATATATGAGAATAAAATGAACGCATGCCATGCGAGCATACAGAGGGATCAAAGCTAGGGCCGCAACGCGATCTTCGGTGAACAGCCGTTCGGTACGGATAAAGCGACCTGCAAGCCGCAGAAGGATAATGAGGGTACAGAACGATGTCGCCCACCAGCAAACAAGGAGGGTCGGTTTATCGAATTTGAATTCGCGAAGAGTGGGAGGTTCTGAATAGAGAGCCATTCTTGCGTCCCCTGTCCGCGCCCGTCGTCCTCCGCAGAGGGCTCGACGAGCGAGGTAGCGATTAAGCGTCGAAGGTTAGAGCTTGGCCGGAAGTATCGATGAGATCGTGGTGTGTGGTCGAAGATGTCGTGGTAGGGTGCCGGGAGTCGACCTTGAAGGATTTCGATGATTTACCTCAACATAAGGCCGCCAGCGGTGGCACTTGAGTGACAGTATTAACGACTCAGCGGGAAAAGAATGCATGAAAATCGTAGACTCGTCGTTTCGTGGAAATCGGTATCAGTTTGAAATGTCGACTATAATCGTGATAGCCGGTTAAAACTGTAGCGTCGCCTTTTGAACAAGTATCAATCAAGTGTTGTAGCTATTGTTCAAATATGCAATCGTGGAGAAGCCAACCCGGAACCAAGGTAAATGCGCAATATCGTGGGTGATGCAGGTCCAAGGTGCATCGGTAGATTACTTCGCAGTTGATCAAGGAATGAACCAGCAGGCCGCGGCCAGGTAGGGAAGAGACCTGAAGGTAGTATTAAGACAGCAGAGTAAATGAGAAAGCAGCAGGTCAAGATAAGAGGAAGAGTGGAGGCAGACAAGGTGCGGCTGGTCCCAAGATATTGCGGAGGCGAGCGTCTGTGGGCGAATCGACTTATCCCGGTAGGCCATCCGGAAGGCACAGTCAGTTCCTGTAGCGTTGATGGGCGAGTCTTGGGATTGCGCAGCGTACACTCACACACTCGTACTCACACGAGCCTATCGCCCCCAAGCCCATGGTCCGTCATCAGTGACCCTGTGCGTCCTGGAGGGAGGGGCGTTGGCCACAACCATGTGGAGTTCCAGAATCGAAATGGGCCAGACAGACATAACGAGACAGGGGGGTAATCAAGCATCCAAAGCACCGGTCGTCTTTGGCTTTTGCTCCACTAGTGCTGGGGCTGGACCGATGAGCATTAGGGTCCTGATGCAGGATCTTTCAGCTAGCGCGCTTGGGGTTCGAATATTTTGGAATGTCGATAGCTGGCCCGATCGAGACTCAAAATGTTGGTTATCACAAGTACGATAATATGAAAGCTTCCAGAGCTTGATGCTTAATCTCTGA